TCCACCACAATAAGTTGGCGGTTCAAGTTCTTCATTATGTTAATAGAAAATTTAATATGGTCAGAATTATGTTTCCTATAAAATATATTTGCTATAGTGGTTTAATTGTGTGTAAATATAACATCTCAGAGACACGGTTGATTGTTCAGATAATTCAGTCTGGACCAAAGTTGCTGGCTGACTGCCATGCCACTGCAATAAATAAGAACATGACCAAATTATAAAGAGTAGTTGATGCTCCGGGCTGTTGTGCTTTGTGTCATCTTGTGTAATACAAAGACCCAGCTAAGTCCCAGTATATTCAGAACATTCAACTCCAGAGTAGTAGAGAGTCCAGCCTCTCAAGAGGAGTAAGGTTCCAGAGCCCCTCCACCACAATAAGTTGGCGGTTCAAGTTCTTCATTATGTTAATAGAAAATTTAATATGGTCAGAATTATGTTTCCTATAAAATATATTTGCTATAGTGGTTTAATTGTGTGTAAATATAACATCTCAGAGACACGGTTGATTGTTCAGATAATTCAGTCTGGACCAAAGTTGCTGGCTGACTGCCATGCCACTGCAATAAATAAGAACATGACCAAATTATAAAGAGTAGTTGATGCTCCAGGCTGTTGTGCTTTGTGTCATCTTGTGTAATACAAAGACCCAGCTAAGTCCCAGTATATTCAGAACATTCAACCCATGATCAGGGGTTGTGCTGACATGGCTGATTTCTTTCTGTATCTGAGGTAGTGCTGCACATCTGGTGCTCATCAGCCACCGATTAATAGACTTGAGCTTTGACAAAGACGTGTATTTTTAAATAAAAAAAATATATATATATATATATTTTTCACATAAGCTATTTAGATCACTAAGAGGAGTTATTAAGAATCCTGGTAAGTCTCTCCAATTCTGTTTGTGAGTGTGTTAGCATTTACTGTGTTGAATAAAAAATCTTTTTCATGCTCACCTTAGCATGTTAAGTCTTCAGTGTATGGTTTACACTGACGTCCCAGTAAACTAGCAGTGCTCTTTTTTAGACCATATACAGTTTTATTTCTATCTGTTTGTATTTATTGAATTGAATAGTGAATATCAATTTGGAAGACTGAAAAGAAACATATTGTACTAGTTATGTTTTTCCCTAACCCTAATACCTAACACCTAACCTAACTGCAAGCTGACAAACAAGACACGCATGCAAAACTGCACTCAAATTCATATACTGACCTGCAATGACAATGACCAAAATGATGAAAAAAGTAATCATAGCAAAACAATAATAAGAGTAGTAGAATCACAATAGGAACAATTACTCAGAGACAGAGTCTCAGGTTTCTCACAAAACGTTAGGAGAGAGCCCCACACATTATACTGTAAAAAAGGAACAAATGCACCAACCCTGATGTAGCAAGGAACTTTATATACACAGAATACAGTTTAGAGTGCAGTAGTTAACTTCAAGACTTGGTTTGAATTAAACATCACTCACTGTGGATTCTCACTGTTCTCATTTCACTTTGTACCCCTTTGCTTGAGTCTTCCTAAAACAAACCTCTGAGTACTTTGCAAAGTTATTTACTATTGGGTTTTCTCATCTGTTTTGGGTTTCACAGCTTATCAGATAGAGTGACACAACAGTAAAGGTGCAATCTATAGTTCCACCACAATGAGCTGGAAGTACCTCAGAACCCGCAGATAAATGTTAGTCAGCATGCAAAACTCATAATGACAACAATTCACAAAATACTAATGTGCTAATGCTAAGCAGGTGTAATGTTTGACATCTATCAGTAGGTAACATGTTAGCATGCTAACATTTATTAATTAGCAAAACCACAGCAAAAACTATTGGGATTGTCATTAATTTTGCTAGTATTTAATATTGAACAACTTATACTTTTGACCTTTTGGTGGCTCTATGTGAGATGTCAGATCATCCAGAGGGCTGCATGTACGTATGTCTGTAGTGAATTTCATGGCAATCCATCCAACAACTGTCAAGACATTTCATTTAGAACTACAAATGTTTCCTTGTTGGAGGTCCTACAGAAAAGTGGGCCTGTAATTATTTGATTAGCTGTGCTGATAATATGGTCAACAATGTTAGACCCTACATATCTTATAGAGCAGGTATGCTGATGTGGATGTGCTGTACTCTAATTCCTCTTGATGAAAAACGTTGATAAATATTAACAATACAGACCATTGTAACACTGAAAACTAATAAGGTTTGTTCTGTCAAAGATACAATGAAAAACTATTTAACATCTCTTACATTAGTAAAACAGCATTTTTAGATCACAAAGTTTCTTCTGTGCTTCATGCAGCACAACATTGATTCAAGGTTTTATCAGTCAAAGAAAGCTTTTACATTACATCTTAAAACTGTCTTTTTTGGAAAACCCTTCAGTACAACAAGTACACATTTACCAGCAAGGACTCAGGTACTTATAACGAAGCTGAGAACATAAACAGTGAAAAACACTGTGGCATCACAGACCAAAAACAAGAACCCTGTAAGGTCCTTGAGTCCCTGATAGAAAAGAAGGACATACATTTCAGTAGCAGACATCTCTTCTGTGGAATACAATGCTGACAAAAGGATCCTGATAAGAGTGAAAAGAAAAACATTTGTTTGTCCATACACCCCTTATCTATGTATATCTTATAATGAATAGGGTCATGGGGGGCTGGAGTCTATCCCAGCTGACACTGGGCGAGAGGTGGGGTACAGCCTAGACAGGTCGCAAGTCTATCACAGGGCTGATATGTAGACAAACAACTACACACACTCCTACAGGCAATTTAGAGTCACCAGTCACTCTAAGCTGCTTGTCTTTGGACTGTGGGAGGAAGCCAGAGTACCCGGAGAGAACCCATGCAGCCACAGGGAGAACATGCAAGTCCCAGGGTCAGCCAGGGCTCGAACCTTCTTGCTGTGAGGCGGCAGCACTAACCACCATGCCACATCCCTTTGTCTCAATCCACAAATCTCTCACTGTCATGAACAAACATCCTTACAGTAAGAATGTTTTTTTAGGAAGCTAATCTGCTTCATCGGGCTCATGAAATGACCCAATCGTCTCTAACGGCAAGAAGTTAATTTCAGGGCCTTTAAAAATCAGTCACATAAATGAGCCTCTTTGTATGCCTCTCATCCAGCTGGACAAATGCAAGGTAATGGCCTCAAAAAAGAAGCCGCTGTGGCTGGAGTTCTCTCCCATGCCATCTCCCACCTCTACTACACCAGTTGGAATAATCTTCAAACAGGGGGATGACCTCAGACAGGACATGCTGATCATTCAGGTTAGGAAGATCTAAATTTTAATCTTAATTACTAATCTTATTAACACATTAAAGCTGGTCTTCTGTGTAGGTGAATGTATTTACCTTTGGATAAAGTGACCTGACTCTGTATATTGTCCTGTTTAGACACTGGTGCTGATGGACTCTATCTGGCAGGAGAAGTCTCTGGACCTTAACCTGGTTCCATATGGCTGCATCTCCACAGGACGCAACATAGGTATCAACATCTGATATGAGGAAAGTAGCCAGGATCTTAGAAATACTCCTCTCAAAATTATGGAAAAATTTTAATTATTTGAATTTAAGCAACAGTAAAATCCATGTTAGTTAGAGATTAAGGTTATTTTTGGGATCTACTTTTTCATAACCAGGTTCTGTGGACCATGTGAACCATATATAGTTTAGTATGTTGTTTTACTTAACTTATTTTATAATTCTACATCATATAGTTGGCTATACATTACATTAGAAGGAAATATAAAAACTTGTTGCTTGATTGCAGTGAAATATGGGGTAAGGTGGACATATTATTCCAGTTATTCAGTAACGATTTACACCTGCATAAAGGTTGGGGAACATATACGACAGTTTCTCATGATGAATATAATGAATTTCATGTGTAAAATTTGGTGGACGTCCTCGTTAATGTGTGCTTCTTTTACTGGTCAAATACAGCATGACAAAGAACACGCTGTAATTAGGTGGAACTAATTATGCTTGATGTACCACTGTACAATGAAGCAGTGATTCACAAATGATAAATGTAATAAATAATTTAATAAAGTTCCTTTTCAATAGGTATGATTGAGATTGTGAGGAACTCCACGACCATCGCCACAGTCCAGAGAAACCATGGAGGAACAAATGGGGCCTTCATAAATGATGCTCTGTTTAAGTGGCTCAAGTCCATGTGTCCACTCCAGGAAATTGTAAGTAATAGGGAAAAAACTCAAAGCCAAGTTTTATACAAGATTTGAACCCAAATAGATTTGTAATGTTACATTAAAAATGAAAAAGCATGGTGCATTTGGGTAGTGGTGAAAACTAAATACATTTACTCACAAATTGACTCATTATAAGTTCAGATTTGTAGTACTGAGTATTTCCATGTTCAGCTACTTCATGCTTTATACTTTTACTCCACTACATTTTAGTTACTCTTCATATTATGATTTGTTCTAACATATAAAATACAAAACACAGTAAAAAAAATTTAACCAGTATTTCCCAATTTTTTAGCTTACATTCCCTTGTGAAAAACAGTCTAGCTGATGCCACTTGTAATATTTCAGGTGCCCACGATTGAAGAAAAAGAGCCAAAGCACAAAACTAAACTAAACAAAATTGGGTCTCACATTAAAGTTGCTCCAAACACTGCAAGTTTTGCTGGACATGTTGTTTTCCAAGCCTTTGAAAAGGACCTGACCCCACTATGTTTATCTACCTTTCTGTATATAATATATAATAATAACCTCAAGCAGCTATATATACTGTAAAAAAAAAAAAAAAATTCCCCACTCATCCAAGTTAATTTCAGGGCTGGAAATTTCAGGAATACAAATTTCAGGAATACAAGACTGCCCCACCTTGGGGCAGTCTTGTATTCCTTCCTTCAAGCTCTCCCAGTTTGGGGGTCACAGCCCCTAATGTTCCTATTTGTAAAAATGTCAAAAAATCTGTGTTTTTCTGTCAATATGGGGTGCTGTGTGTACATTAATGAGGAAAAAAATGAACTTAAATGATTTTAGCATATGGCTGCAATATAAGAAAGAGTGAAAAATTTAAGGGGGTCTGAATACTTTCCGTACCCACTGTAGATGGATAGATAGATAGATGCAAAACCCTTTCAAGATGGAGGACCAGAACGACTTCTGGGTTTGAGCGAGGACTGAGGAATGATCAAATAAGAGAAGTGGGATTTACCCTTTGTGTGTATTCTTGAGGTCTTTCACACATGTCAAATGCATTTCCTTCCTCATAATAAGACCGCCCCAAAGGGGGGGCAATTGGGGAATTGTAATATACCCCTTTAATCCCCCCCCCCCCACACACACACACACTTTGGGGCGGTCTTGTATTACCAGTTTGTCAGTTTATATCTGGAAGTCCCACAGGATCTTAGCTTGGTCATTCTCAACCACCTTTAGAGGTGCATCCCATTTTGACTTCGGGACTTCCAGCCTGTACTCGGCACAGATGTTTCGGTATGGTAGACCCCTGCCTGTAATGATCTTGTACTTAGAGCCTGTTCCTGTGCTCCCAGGATTAGTGCCTCTGTGCTGTCTTTCAGTCCAGCTTTGTCCAGCCACTGGTAGGAGTTTTCGATATCAGCCACTTCTTCTATTTGACAGTGGTACATACCATGCAGAGGTTTTTCCTTCCATGAGGGTTCCTGCTCTTCCTTCCCTTGTTCCTCTGGTTTCTGCTGCCTGAGGTATTCACTAAGCATGTCATCACTCGGGGCCATCTTCCTGATGTATTCGTGGATATTTGTTGTTTCATCATAGATAGTGGCTCTGATGCTCACTAATCCTATATGGGATCCCAAGGTACTTGTAGCTGCCCTCAACATCTGCTATGTTGCCTTCTGGTAGTACAATCCCTTCAGTTCTGACTACCTTCCCTCTCCTTGTTACCATTCGAACACACTTATCCTGAATGACATTCCAAAATCCTGGCTGTAGATACTAGTGGTGTGGATCAGTGAGTTGATGTCTCGTTCACTCCTGGCATACAGCTTGATGTCATCCATGTAGAGGATTTGGCTGATGGTTGCTCCATTCCATGGTCG